GCTCTCAGGAATTTGCACTTTCTGTCCCACTTAATCTTTCTTGAGTTTTGAGCTTGCTTCAGCACAGATACACATTTCAGCACAATGCAGAAAAAATTTTCATTCTACTTGTCACAAGATTGATAACTTACATTGAAGAATGTACACTGTGAAATCATAACTTTTCTTTTTCGTTAGCACATTTCTAAATCTGTGGGCAATAAGATTTTTTTTTTTTTTAATTTAAGCTTGTTTTGAAAGAACTATTAAAAATCAGAATTTCCTTTTAAAATCACACAGTAGATTTCTTTCAAAGGTTTGTGGGTGGGGTTGGTAAATTAATTTTATAAATGGGGATTTAAGACTTTTCTTCTAACAGCTTTTCCAAAATATTTATTTCACATATGTATTTGAAATGTCAAACCTTCCTAAACTCTTTTATTGGCACAGGTCTTTTAGTCCATTTCCTCTGTTTCAGCTCTTGAAGTTTCTGCTGTGTGTCAGATGCAAAGTCTAAACTGCAGAGGGATGGCTGTGTGAACCCTAGGAATTTCAGTCAAATGTTCATAGCTATTCTCAGCAAATGAATCTTGTGGGAGGCAATACTTAACTATTCTTGAATGATCATCTCCTGTTTAGAAATAAAACTGGGTTCAAAGAAAGCCAGCAAGCTGTAAAACCAAATTTGAATTTGTCTTTCAACAGGAAAATACGTTTCAACAGTAAAATTGTCAGCAAGCACTCTGTCACTGCATTATGGGGATCATGTTTGAATAAGAAAGAGGCCTTGGGTTGGGATTTCGGTTTTGAAACCCCACCCCCCTTGCAGATCAGACTGTTTAGATTAGGTGTTTTATATCGGACAAAATAAACAAATGTCAAATGTTGCACATCAACATTTCATTTACTCCCTGTGGAGCTTTCTCATCCATGTGCTGGTAACAACCAAGCAATTGGCTTGTGTCTGGGGAAAGCTGCCTTTTTTTTCAAATGGTTGGTGTTTTTTATGAGACAATTTTAAATAATGAATGCAGCTTTCAGGAACCTCACTGCTCTGCTGTTTGTCCATTAGTACAGCGCGTGCTCAGATCACTGGTACTTAAAGCGGGTGTCCCACAGTACAAGCACAGCAAGTTGGGAGCCGTTTTTATGAAAGATGGTTTGAAGCTCATGGTGCTTTAAAACACGCTAGCACGTTGTTACCTTTCCGAAGCACTTTGAGATCCGCAGGATATGAGCGTCAAGGCACATCTCCAGCATGGTTATGCTGTGAAGCAAAATCACAAATCTCCTGGGACTCTGTCTCCTTGGAAGTGCTCTCTCCCTTCCTCACTCCTGCTCCTCCCGCCCTTTTCAGGCTCTTTTCCACTACTGCTGGGTCAGACCCTCTTCATCTCTGGAAACTGCTTTCCTGGGTCTTCTCCTTTTCAGTAGCGATGACAGCAGCAGGTGACACGGGCTGCGTCCCAGTTAGCCCTTCTCATTCGACTATTGCTCTGGTTTGGGTCAGAGGTTTGCCTTTTCCTATCTTTTTTTTTTTTTTTTTTTTTCCTGCAAAGGAAAAACAAGTTCAATAGCACTTTTTGACCTTTCTAAAAGGCCCATCTAACTTCAGCTTGCAGAGGAGACTTTTCCTTCATGTTGTACCCAGGAAAGTTTGCTGGAGAATGAAATGCCCAATAAATCTGTCCTCGAGCACCATCTGATGGGGAAAGTCATGTATTGACTGGGGACATCGTTTTTCACTTTTTCAGGAAACCACATCTTCAGCAGTGACTGGGAAACTCGCCAAATCCACAGTGAAATTTTTTGTTTCCAGATGGACTCCCTGGTACACTCTGTAGTATTGAGATTTTACTGCCTTTGTGAGGAAGAACAATGCCCAGTTGTCCACTTCTAGGGACAGTAGGAAAATACCTATGTTACACTCTGAATTAGGGTTTTCTGAGAATTTCTTTCCCCCTTCAGCTACTGAGAGGCCCATAAGTTGAAAGTAAATAGGATAAGCAAGTAGGTGTAACAAGGGCTAGAAAGTAGATAGACATCCTGTTACCCACTTTAAGCAGATATTTGAAAGAGGAAATGAGAATAATTTGCTGTAAGAGGCAAACTTTTAACAGCTGTCCTACTTGGTACTAAAGTATAATTCAAGCTCCACCAAAACCACAGGTGTTCAACAAAAGGAAACCATGCTGCATAACAATTTAGAAACTTGAGAGTATCATTCTCCACTGAAGCCACATAGAAATCGCATGGAGAAACAAAGTTAAAAATTTGCCCAAAATAACATGCATGCTGTCATGAAGAGTATCTTGGAATCTCTAGGAGCAAACACACTGCACCCCGCACCACCTTTTTCAAGAGATGCCAAGACCACCAATTTCAAACACCAGCAACATTTTAAGGCTGACACTGCAAGACACGTGTCAGCTGGTCACCGTTTTCAAAACTGCTTAAGTTCTGCTAACATCCCCCAGCTCTTGAAGAAAAGATGAAGGATTTTGAAATTGGCTGGAGGAGGACTGCTTCTTCTTACTGCAAGAGCTCTGATCCTATAAAAATGTTCTTGTGAATATGCTTAAAACATGGCATCTGCAATACACAGCTCCAGCCAGACCAACAGACTGGAGGCTCAGGCCAGAAAACATGATGGAGGGGGTATCAAGTCCAAGTATGAGAAGTTCCTACTGCTTTAGGACACAGTAGAGAGAATTCTGCTGGTTCAGGTGCTGTTTAAATCTGAGAGACACAGGAGGACAAACAGTCCTTTCTTTTGATCCCTCATTTTAGCAGATAATGATATAACTTGCACTTTCTAGATAAACCTGCAGCTGTGCTTGACACTGTCAGTTGTGTGAACGACATAGGAAGCTGTCTTACAGCTTTCAAGAGTGTCATCTCCCTCGTGGCCCGTTTATTAGATGGCCAGCTAAAGGGGGAGCTACTTGAAAAATAAAATAAAAAAAAAATGCATGGCAGATTAATTCTCCTCTGAACAGTTGAAGGAACCTTAGCATTTGGGAGTTAATAAAAGTGTGGGCTGAAAATTGATCTTCCTGGATACTGTGCTGAGCCCACCTGAGAATCTTACCCATCAGAAGAGATCTTCTTGCAGGTGGTAGACAGATCTAATATGACAATGTGATGGGAGATTGGGTTAGCATCATTCCCTTCCCAAGTCAGCAAACACTGATGCAGTTCCTGCACAGCACTGACAGGCTCTAGAAGCCTTTTTATCCTGTGAGATTTGACAGAAAGTGAGGGACTAAGATTGCACAAGGGAAGGTGATCGTCATAGCAGCTGCTCTGGCGAGTCTCACTGGTTCATGATCCTAAATGCACTCAGGTTTAAATTGGCGTCACAACAGCACCCTAGTTGCCACAGGATTTATTTCAAAAAGTAATCTTTTTGCCACAAAAAGGAAAAGGCATTTTAAATACCCCAGTTTATTTATTCTTCATATCTAAGACCTCCTATTTATTACAAATTTGACAGAAGAGCAGTTCTTATTGTGTAGCACATCACAAAAATAGTTCTTTGATGCTAATTAAGGTTTTAAAATAACTAGAAATTTGGCTTCATTCCTCCTTGTAGAGACACAGAAGTACTTCAAGACTTCCTTTTAAAACAAGCTCTACAAAACCTCTCATTTTTATGAGAAAGAAGTCTGAGCTCCACTCAATCACTTGATTCACAAAGTTCGGGTTCCAATGTACTCCCTTACAAGATTCACTATCAGCTCTTTGTAAACGAGTCTTCATAATTACAGCACAGTCGAGTCTCCGGTTTTCAAATCCCAAAGCGCTGAGCTAGAAAGCATCACTTGCCCAGGGGTACTCCCCAGCACCCATAGCCAAATCGGGGCTGGCAGCACCTCAACATACCCACAGGGGCTCCCATCACCTAGAATGCGATGGCATTACGGGGTGCTTGAAGCAACGAGCAAGGCAGTAACTAAGCAACGCCCACCCTGTTTTGTTGCTGCATTAGCTGCTCAGTAATCAACCCGTTCTCAGAAAACGAGAACGGTACTGACCTCTGCGATGGTGCTGCAGTGAGTAAATGCAGAGAAAAGAAAACAAAACAAGAAACTGAAATCTGCGGAGCTGGTATGTTTATAAAGGATCTCCTCAAATGTATGCAGCATACACCAACACGGAACAAAACTTTAGATTTGCTTCAACATTTAAAAGCAACAAAATCGGTGCGTATCACATGCCACCAGCTGTTTTACAGAAATAAATTACTGTACTGTATACAACAGCCTCTTCAACATCAGCTGATCATAAAGGTCAGAAAAGTAGTCACTGTTAAAAAAGTGGAAATTTCAAAAGGTTAAAATGCAAAAAAAAAAAAAAAAAAAAAAAAACAAAAAACCCAAACAAACCAAACCACCCCAACCCTGCCTACAAGCCCAGGAAAACCAACCCAAAACTGAAGTAACAGCAAGCAAGAGAAAAATCTTAATTTTCAGTGATTTGCAGGTAGAAACTTTTTCTTCTTTAGTCCACATTCAGATCTCTGTTTTGCTACAGTCTTCAGTTACTACAACTGAATTAAAGAACTGCTGAGTAATTCCGTAAAGCCCAGTAGACTGAAGCAAAAAATAGCTGTAACTCCTCCTCCCTCAATTTAAAAGGGGAAGTCGCATCTCCTCACCTCCAGGGATGTCATTTACTCATCACTCTCCGAACCTGCGGTTAGAGCAACAAAGGGACAACACAAGGGATCCAAGCAGGTGCCCAGGCACTAGGAACAGCAGCTTTTAGCACTCCATCTCGAAACTGCTAAGTTCTCTATTTTCGTTTATTTCTTCTTTTTCATTCACTGTCAAGCCACTTGATTGAATCCTTGGCTCCTGTGCCTTTCATGAGAAAAGTAGGCAGATTCAAATGCCCATTTAAAGGAACAGCTTGAAGAAAAAAAATAAAACATCTGCACTTCACATTGACTTGACCACCTGTATTTTGTGCTGTAGTTTCAGCAGAAGAAGAGGGGAAAAAACAGTGACAAAGTGATAGACAGAGAATGTCACTTCACTTTATTTCTATTCCTTAAAAGTGCAACTTTTCTGTAACTGAGGCTTTACAAAGAAGAAATGTCCCTGCAGCACTTCAGAAATCATTTTGGCCTACAAATAAAAAACTTTTCTTCTGTAACATCAGTTGCAGTATGTCCCTGAGACCACAGCCTTCCACAGATTTCTCGATGTGATTATTTAATTTCATTTTTATTTAGCTTATATGGAGAACTATTTTTCAAAAAAAAAATGAAAATCTTTCTTGACTCTGGAGAGCACCTTTTTCACTTGCATATAAACAAGACCAGTGAAGTTTTTACAAGTCATATTCAGGCAGCTGTGTATGTTAGTTGTTAGTATAAACTGAATTTTATGGTGTTTACAGAATTAAGCTTTAATCAGTGCAGCAACTTAGAAGGGTAAATGTTATGTTACCTCATATAAGAAACAAGCATAGGAAAAATTAACAAATCTTTCATATGTATTAACTTTTCAGGGTTTTTCCCTACTCTTTTCCTTCACTGCTTGTTATAGCTGCAAACCAGAAGTCCCTGACTTACAGAAGGGTGGTTTTAAATAAAAAAAGAAAAAACATTTAAAAGGTGGAAAGAAAGAAAATAGGAAATTTAGGGCAAGAATGTTTTGGGGCATCTACCAAGCAAGACAGGAGGAGATAAGACACTTAAAAATGCCTTGAGTTCCTAGAGAGAAAGGAAACACAGATTATTACAATAAGGAACTCTAAGTAAATGTATTGAAATCATAGCAATAATAAGAAACACACTTATTATGTCAAAATATAAAATTAAAACAACTCAAGAGTTCTATACATATTCCCATGGTGCTGCCACTGGAATCACTGAGGTTTCAACAAGGATTTAAATTATAGCAGGCACTGGAAAATGTAAAGAAGGAAATAAAAAATGAAAAATACCATCTATGCCTCTCCTGAAGCAGCAACAGTATTTGTATGGATGGGATTAAGAAGATAACTAAATTGGTTTTAATTAAAAAAAAAAAACAAACCAATGACTATACATAGTTGACTTTGTGCTTTCATCAAGTAATACTAGGAAAAGCATATGTAACATTATCAGTGCAAAATACATTTTTTCTATGTTTCAAATGAAATGCAAACAGTGGTGACTGGCAAGTAATATGGGCTTGAACAGTAAATAGCACAGAGTGTTATAACTCTCAGTATAGCTCTAAGACTAATCTCATTAGTTAAGCAGTGCAGATAAATGAAGACTAAAATTCCAACAAATAAACGCTTTTGTCACTGAAATGTCACTATGCCTCCAGAGATGAGAGAGAATGCATTACTCCAGACCCATGAACTACTGCTAGTTGTTCCAGCACACCTTTAACAGTCGCTCAAAAGAATTAAGAAATAAATTTATTCTTAAAATTAAGGTAGAAAAATTGCACAGGAAATATTAACGAATAATTTATGACAAAGTTGCTCAGTAGAAATTATTAAACAGGAACCACCACCTCAAGTTTCAATAAAGCTTACATTCAGTCTCAGTTTCAGTCCAAATAACCCCCTATTATTCTAAAATTGTCCATTTTGGGCCTTCTAATACATGAAATTAGCATATGCCCAATTCTGTTACCTGGGAAAGACCAGGAATCAGCAGGGGTCAGGTGGCTACCCCAATAATAATGCCTAACAATGCTGTGCAGCAAGTTTTGTAGACAAAGTATGCTTAACAAAATCACATAAGCAAACAACCTGCTAATTAAACGACTGCCACAGCTGACAAATGGCAGCAGGCCACAGCATAAGAAATTAAGGCTAACGAGCTATATTGCAAATTCTCCTGATTAAATGATAAAAACTCACCTCTGATTAAATAATAAGAATCAATTTCTATCTTTTAACAATCTATCAATCTAAACACCGTTTCAAATGTGAGCTACAAGCAGGATTTGTGTATTCCATGTAATTCTTTTTTTCTCCCCGCCTCCAAAAAGTTTCAAAGTCCATTAAAAAATCCTAGCCAGGACAACCTGTCCCTCTCACAAGTGTTCGAGTGGTACCAGTTAGAGTAACATTTGTCTAGGAGTTAACTTTCCTGCAGCAGAAATACTTGTACGTACTCGCCTCCACGTGACCGTAACGTGCCCTCTTAAAAGATGCTGTTCCCGCTGTACAAGCCTGCCAGGTGTAAGCATCACCCCGGGCTGATTCACTCTGCCTCCCCTGTAACATACACCTACGCGATCCAAATTCGCAGCTATTGATTTTTCAACTTAACACTTCCATGGCTACAGTATTTTTGTTTGTTTGCATTCATTATCAGAATCGCTGCTAAAGCTAGTGCAACCCCTAGGCTTGGAGGGCCACAAGGACTGAACTCCTGAGCAATTCCAGAAAGGAGCGGGGCAACTATTCGTCCCACTGATGTCACAGACTGTCCAACACCTAGGAGCGTACCACTGGCCTCATTCCCACCAATGGTCAATTCAAGATCAATGATACAAGTACGTCCTATAGTAGTTGAAAAGGCTAAGAATGTGGAAGACAAAATGACCATCCATATGCTCAGCGCTGATGCATACAGGAAAATCAGCGTGCAGGTAAGAGTGCTGGAATGCAACAAAATTCTGTAAGTGTTGTGCTGATAGAGTCTTGTTATTGGTCCGAGCAGACAACCAGCCAGGACTCCAAGTGCACTGCTGTAGCTCATTAGGTATCCAGCGAACAAGGGTTTCACCTCAAATCTCTCCTCCAAGGCCAGACTAAAATTACTATAGTACAGCAGTATACTGACAGACATCAGCAACCGCACTAAAAATACATCCCACAGGTCAGAGCACGCAATTCCTTTAATCCTCTTCAGCACTGTTGCAACTTGGATCCACGGAGACTGGAAAACACTGTCGCCTGCCATAGCTCCATTAGTTGCTGATTTCAAGTGCAGGTCACGATTTGCTTTTGCTGAGAAACTGTCTGTTCCTCTGTTGCTTTGTTGATGTTCCCTGTTGACAGTGTTTTCTTCGCTCCAGGGTAACATCCAGACAAGACCTAAACAGATCAAGAAATTAGTTGTTTTCATTTAATTGCATTAACTTTACATGAAAGACATTAGTTTGATTGTAACAGTTTACTTAGTGTAAATATCAAAATTTAAAAAAGGACTTCTACAATCATTCCACTTTAAAAAATTACGAAGGTTACATCTAGTGTTATTCACAGTATCAGCTGAATTTTTAATGTGTTGCAAGCAAAGAAGGAAAACACTGAGATGCCACGCTCGCAACATATAAACAATCTAAAGGCCAAAGCCAAAATTCTGATTTCTAGTCTTCATCTCTGGGCACATTAAAAATTCCCATTCCTGTCTCTGAATGTAAAAGTGATATACATAAGACAAAGGAGAAGCATCTGGGGGTTTTCTGTTTCAAAAACACAGGCTCAAATTCAAGGGGTAGTACCCGTATACACAACATGTATGCCATGGATGGCAAACGTGCTATGAATTCAAGGTATTACAAACGGCATAAAAACACAAAAGTGAGGAATTGAAGGGACCCAAGATGCAAAATATGACACAGAACTTACCAGCATTCAAAAGGAAGATAGAGGCACAGATAAAGGACGTTTGATAAAAGCCATCTTCCAACTCCACAAGGTAGCCACCAACAACAGGCCCCAGAATGAAGCCCACGCTAGAGGCTGCGTTGAAGCGTCCCATCACTAAAGGGCGATCTCTCTCAGAAACCAAGTCAGAAAGCAGCGCTTTGGAGATGGAGAGCGTGTGCTTGAAAATACCTGCAACATAAAATAAACAAAATAATAAGCACGGATTGCTCAGTCCGAAAGATTAAAAATGACAGAAGCTATCCGAATTATCAACGGTCAAATTCTATATGACTGATATCTTTAAGATTCCGTTAGCCACAAATTTTTCAATGCCAGAGTCATGCAGCACGCCAGGCCATGACCATCATCCTGGCTGTTCAAGGATTTGGACTTAGGAATCAAAATTATTCAGGCATCTGTGTCAAAGGACTACTGTAGCCCTGCTGAAAGAAGTAACTTAAGCGGAGTGCTGAAGCACACTAGGAATAAAACAACCACCAAAACAGGAACTTGTGGGTGGGTTTGGGAACTTGGGGTAGGAATGGCTTGTCTGCTTATGAACATAGCTCTGTACCAACTTTGCTGAGTATGAAGATTTCCAGGATTGTAACACACCAAATTCATATGGGAGACTGGTGGGTGACAAAAAAAGAGCACATAAAGGTAAGCATACTTCAGGAATAGTAATAACGCAATCTTCTAATGTTCCTTCCCTCTGTCCAGGGCAATGCTGTCACAGTCACAGTGCTGTTAGCATTGAAAAGTATTACCTCTACTGAGTAATCAAATATCAACCACAAAATTAGCAAATTGTCTTTAAATTAAGAAACAACATTAACAGCTCCTAAATCAAAACTGTGGGCCATAAAAGTGCCCTGTTGTAGATGTGTTCATAGTAATAGTAATGCTTGTAATATCAGAATATACGTGATAGGTGTTCAGCTACTTCAAGAACTCTGATACCAACCCTGGCAGAAACTTAGCTTCACTGCTGAAAACTGACATGCTTTTGCACAACTTAAATATTCTGTTGAATTGGTGACCTAAAATTTTAGCCAAGTTTTGTAGTATCACTTTGAGGTACATTTTCAGCATGAGAAAAAAAAAAACAATAACGCATCTATCATACCATTCTCCATTTCAAGTGCAGGCCAAGATTTCCAGCAGTGACCCGGTATACTGTGTACCTGTTATGACTAACCTTACAATAGCCTTTTTCAAGGAATTGCTGCGCTCCTGTTCTCCTAAAATTAAGCTGTTCAAGGTGGCATAAAACTTGTGACAGTTGTTGAGTATACATTTCAAATTATTTTCAGAAAAATGTCGCAAGAACCTTTGACTTGTAGAGATTTTTCCATTGCTAAGGCTCAGCTGGTGCTGCTGGGTGATGATGCTATGCAGCCATGATTCCTCTAGCAGTAATTCTCAAGCTGAGCCTACAGGGGATTTAAACTGCAAAATGCCGAGTGTTTACTCACCTACAGGGACTCTAGAAATGGCAAACAAGAAAACAGTGGTGGATGTTCCAAGAAGGAAGTAACCCAGTGCACTGAGAAGAATACAAGCGAGCAGTGAATACCGTCTTCCTACTATATCACTCCAGCAGCCCTTTCACAAACACAGAAATTAAGATTAGCTTTTTATAACATTTAACTATGTACAGTGAACAACCAGTACTTTGAAATTAAATTGAGAAGAGAGATCAAAGGACTGTCAGTGAAAGCTTAGTAAGTTTATTACACAATATTCCTAAATTCTCAAAATCTGGAAGTCATGAGCAGAGTTCTGCCCTACTGAAAGTGCACTTGCTGAAACTACGATTCCATTTAATGTCATGCATAGAGCTTTTTAAAAAATAATTTATCTTTTTAAAAAATAAATTCCTACAATAAACACCATGAAATGTTATTAGTAGGGACCCTCAGAAAACGTTGCCACAACCAACCACCAATATTTGTTTGCATCAATGATCGCTACGTACTAGACACTTGTTGAACATCCTAAAAGGAATGATCTTAGCTATGAGGAGTCTGTCATCCGAGTATAGACAAGTAGGAAGTCATTATGAGAAGGGCAAACAGTAAACTTGCATGTAGCATGTTTATAAATCAGCTTGATTGCGAACAAGAAGTAGGTTTTTAAGAAGGTAGGCAATGGTCTTCCAGTTCAAAGAAAATGCCATACGATTTCAGAAGCAAATTATCCCAGGTGGTCTGCATAACAAACCCTGAAACAGTTTTTTCATGAGATGCTCAAAATCTGCTCTCTTGAAAGCTAGGAGGTACCAGGGTAATATTAAAGGTGCTTCTGTAAAAGACCAAAAGCTAATAGAAAACAAAACCAAACAAAGCTCAAAGACATAATGCATATAGCCAGGCCATATGGCAAATTACAAGGCACTGCTTATTGAGCAGAGAAAGCAAACTCTAGACAACAGGCTTATGAAGCACTGACTTGTGAGACTGCTTTTTGGGCAGGCTACTGCACTGAGGGGAACAGCTTTACAAGCACCAACACTGAAGAGAACCCTGTGTGACTGATGTGCTCAGTGACGCATCTGAGCCCAAATCTGGGTTCTAGTTTTTGCCTGAAGTCTGTATCCTGTTTAGTTCTGAAAAATCTGGCAATTCCCTATAAACAAAAGAAACATTTTCCAAACTAAAAACTGGATCCTCCAACCAAAAATGCTTCTATGAACACTATAAACATTTTTTAAATGTCATGAAGCACTATTGTTTAACCTCATCCTTTTCCCTCCTAAAATCTACAGAAATACCAACATCCTCAGGAACGCGGTGTTAGAACTCACCACAAATGTACTGGAAAATAGTTGCATTATACCATAGAGAGATCCTAAAACAAACAAATAAAACAGCAATGTTAAAAATTAAACTTACTTTTTTAAAAAAATGAAAACTGCAAAAAATTTTAAATGAGGAAACATGAGAAAAATTCTGGGAATAATTTACTAGAAGAATAGGGAGACGGAGCAAACAAGCCAAGGGTAGAGTTTAACACATAAACAAGGAAACAGCTTCAGGAATGACAAAAAAAGAAAAACAAATGCTGAAAACTTGCAAAACTATGTAGTGTATAAGGATGTTGCTTTGTATGACGTATTAAAAAAAACAGACCTTGGCATTTATAATCGCTTTCTCAGAATCAGGCAAGAATTTCATTACTGGGAGGCGGTAATTACTTTCCACTTGGCAATTCAACCTATTCCAAGGCACCACAGAAGCCCTGAAGAAACCACAGACCCTACTCTTTCATTTTGGAGGCTAAGAATTTAGCAGCACTTAGTGACAGAAGATAAGCAAAGAGAAGCAGACAGAAACACCTGCCAGCCTCCTTCATTTATAAGGATACACCTCAAACCCTAGTTTCTTTTACAGTTAAAAATTGAAGGAGACTGTTGAAATGAAAACATAGTTTTGATTAATTGCTGCTTAAAATATTACTCTGTCAACTCAGAGCAGTACCAGAATTATTGCATGAAAAGAGCTAAATTTAATCCAAAATTAAAAAGCAAGGTAATAAAAAAACTGAATAACAGAGCCCATGTCAACCACACTTAGCTCTAAAGAATACCAGACTTGTATGGTTACAAACCATAAACAATACAATAAAATACAAGAACACATCTTACCACCTATTCCAAACCTTCAGAATTTACTTGTAAGCACTCCTTAAAGATGTTCCAAAAGGCAGCTGCAAGGAATTGAATCAAACTGGGAGCAATCACAGGCACTGGAAAGCTCAGGAGAACCAGCTGCAGAATTACTGTTTGCAAGGTCCGTAAGTAACAATAAAACTAAAAGCAACACCTCTGGCTCCCAAAGTCGCTGAGCTGTTAGTTCTTGGATGCTGGAAAACCATCTGTACAAGTGTTACTGCAAGACTCCCTTATTCTTTACAAGAGTGCTCTTTCCTAAGCACCTGTTTTTGGCTACTGTCAGTATGCAAAGCTGGACAGGTCTCTGGGTCTAACACAGTATGGCTGCCCATACTTGAAAATTTGGCCTTAATTTGTCGTGGTCTGGGCCTGGTCAGCAGCCAACCACAATGCAGCAGCTCTCTCTCCCTTCCCCTCCAGCAATGAGAAGGGACAGAGAGCCAGGCTTGGGGTTCGAGATAGGACTGGGATGGGGAAAAAAAATCCCCTTTATGATCATGAGCAAAAGGCAGACTCATTAGGGGAAGAAAAAAAGAACATACATTTATTACAGACACTAACAACACGTAACAGAGTAGGACAGTGAGAAGCATTGCCACATCTTGAGAACACCTTCCCCCCACCCCTCCCTTCTTCCCAGGCTCAGCTCTGCTCCCGATATCTCTACCTCCTCCCCCAGGGGCGCAGGGGCAGGGAATGGGGGGTGCAGTCAGCGCTGCCACTTCCTTCATCTTCGGTGAGGGGAGTTTCCGGAACTTGTTCCTCCTGCTCCATCGTGGTCCCCCTCTCACAGGAGACAGTCCTCCACAAACTTTCTCCGATGTGAGTCCCTCCCACGGGCCGCAGCGTTCCCCACACTGCTCCGTTGTGGGTCACCAACTTTCTCCAACTGGATTCCCTCCCACGGCTGCAGCCCTTCCCGAGCTGCTCCGGCGTGGGACTCCCCCGCATGCTGCAATCCTCCCAGTGCTGAATTACAGCAGCGGGGCTGCCTTTTCCCACAAGACCCTGGCCTTCTTTGGGCACAGAACCTTGAACAATCAGGCGAAACACAGGCCATAAATCAATGTCTGCTCCACCGTAAATCTCCATGGGTGGCAGGGGGGGCCGCCCTGCCATCTCCCCACAGGATACAGGGGGGTCTCTGCTCCGGCACACCTCCCCCCTCCTTTCTTCCTCCGTTCCCCCACTGCCCTTGGTGTTCAAACAGCTGCAGCAACTCCTCCTCACCAGTCCCACTGCACGTCACCACGTCCCTTCTTAAATACGTTATCGCAGAGGTGCAGCTGATGGGCTCAATTTCCCACACAGAAGTGGAGCTGGCTTGGAGCTGGGGGAGCTTCAAGAAGCTTCTCACAGGGGGCCACCCTGATAGCCCCCTCCCCTGCCACCAAAAAACTCCACCACTCACTCAACCCAGGACAACTTTTTGTTATGCTACCACCAAGGAAGAGTTATGATACAATGTCCAATTTGCTGTAAGGCATAATCCAGTTCACATTACCCTGTTCTTTGGTAAATCAACCGAGTATTGCAACTCACCTATTATTCCGGCAACCGTATGACTTGCTCCTAGAGATTTGATATGATGGTTCATTAAAGGAACAACCATGCTCACACCAAATAAATCCTGAAAAGAAGGCAAGAAAACATTTAATAACTGATCACTTCTACAAAGATGGTGACAAGCTGGCTTAGTAACAGTCAATATTTTGAAAATTTTTAAATTATTTCCATAGCAGTACAAGATTAAAAGAAAATTTTTCATCGCTATGTGGTATGTTGTAACCTCTACAGTGCATCCTGTATGTACAAAATTACAAAACCACATAAACTGAAGGACAAATGGTTGCCTCACACAGGAGTTAAAACTATGAAAACTGTAGTTTTCTTTCCCCCTCCAGATACAATCATTCTGAAGATATATATTTAAACAGTTAATATTCCTTTAATGTATATTAAACTTTATCTGTTTAACTAGAAAAGTACTTGGTACTATTATTTTAAGCGTAAAGCGGTCTGCAATTTCAGTCACCTAGAAATAATTTTTACTTATGAAAATAAATTTTACTTATGCAAAAATTTGGAAAAATCTACAGTATTTTAACTCTTGACCACAGTGGGGATGAAGCTATGGTAGATCTAAACCTAACTAAAGACTGCCTTTGCATAAGGCTTGAGAAATGTGGTGAAAAGACAGAAACAAGACAAAAAAATAAAAAAAGAGAAAAAGCAAAGCATACATGAAAAATGTTTTGCAAGAGGAGGGCAAAGGACACTGCCCATTCTTAACAGTACAAGGATCTCCTACTCATTCCTTTCGATTTTTTATCTTTTATTAAGCTAAGCACATTGGCCCAGTAGTTCTTTCACTACTACTCTCCGGCACAGACTGCAGTGTCCTATACCAGGGCAGAACCTTACAGAAGATCTGTTGGAGCAAGATCACCATTTATCAGTGACTGCTTGAGCTGAACTAGATTTGCCCTTCCTCCTATGCCGGAAGCCTGAATAACTGTAACAGTCTGTATCACTAAGTAAATTCTGTCTGTCATTAAGTATCTTTAGATGGTTGAAATTGAGCCTTACAACCTTAAAAAACATTAGCACAGGCAAACAGAGCACATGATTTACGAACATCTTCAATAACAAAGTCTTAGGTGTCATCTGCAAACCCCAAGAGAGATTCAGTGACCTCGTCCAGGTCATTGATAGAAACATTAAAAAGGACAAATCTCGGAATATACCCAGGCAGTACTGGACTTGTCATAGGCATTCAGGTGAAGTAAGACCCATTAACCACTATCCTCTGATGGACAGTTATTTCTCATTCCACCTATAATTTCTCATGTCAGATAATAACTACACTGTATTTGCTTGGTTGCAGGAAGCTTGCATCACAGGTAACAGCTCTTTATTATGGTATTTCACCACATTCTACACCCTCTAAAAAGACACTCATTTCTTGGTTGATTCCAGCGTGTACTCCAGCTTGGTGTCAGCAAGGTATTACAGGACTGGAGAACTACAGTGTTTAAAAGTGAGCTAAGAAGCAAAGCTTGTTCTAACACATCTCTTCCTTGAAAATTTGCTCCAGGACCCAAACCAACCAGACTGTTTCTATTGCCCAACCTAAAGGTAAATAAAAGAATATATCTACATTTCGCTGTGCAAATTTGTACTCATTTTGTATTCTTTTTTCACGTCATCCCTTTGGATTTTAAATTAATTAAAAGACATTTTTCCAAGGCTCATGAACCACTACAGAATACAAACCTTTAAATTCTATATGTACTATGTTCTTTCAGGGAGAGGCTTTTTTTTTTTCTAGAAAAAAACCATTTTGTTGTTTGTTTGCTTACTGGTATTTCAAGGAAACAAGGAACAGCTCTCTGGTAAGCATAAAGCAGGACTTAGCTTTGAGGGTGCTGCACTATTCCATTTCACTCCCAGGACAAAACCCATCCCTTTCTGCGCGACTGCTTGCACGGATAGAACCATACAGCCGCCACAAGCCGCTATCGCTGCAAACATTCAAGCTCCCGAGGAACATCTGGAGCGCTGTACCTCAAAACCCAGCGGCTTTATCTGGGGCGACACGGGGGAGCCCACCCGGCAGCGGCAAAGGACACGGGTGGGGGCGGCGTGTGCGTGGCTGCCCAACTTCGGGCTTTACGGCACCTCCTGACGACCCTGAGGGCACCTCACGGCTCCGGAGCCGGCTGCGGGGCCGTCCCCCCCTTCTTCTGCCTCCGGCACGGCCCCTCACAGCGGCTGCCCCCGAGCCGTGGGGCCGGGCAGCCTGTCGTGTGGGGCGGGGAGGATTCCCCCCCTCCTCAGCCACGGCCGCCCGCCCGTCCCAGGCCGCGCCGGAAAGGCACCGGCGTCGCCGCACCCGCCGCTTACCAGGAATCCCACCACGTAAAGGCACCGCACGAAACGGCCGAACGCCGCCGCTGCCGGGCTCCCCGCGGCTGCCCGGCCTCCTCCATCCTCCTCCTCCTCTTCCTCCATCCGGCCGGCGGCGGCCGCGGGCCCGCGCCCCGGAGCGGCCGGCGGCGCTGCGCATGCGCAGTGCCGGCGGCGCGGCGGGAAAGATGGAGGCGGAGGGGTAGGGAGCGGGGACAGCCTCACTGCCGTCTGCGCGTTGCCTCTGCTCCAGGCCGGGAGGAATCAAGATCCCCGTGGGTTTCGGAGGCGAGCGGGATCCCTGCCTGCCCCCCCCTTCCTCCCCTCCCCACTTCCGTAGGACTTTGCCCTTCCTGCGTGTTTGGCCGTGGAGAGTTTTGCAACCCGTCACCCGGGGGCCTGAGGCGCTCAGGAAGGCCTCGATGGCGTGAAGGGGCTTTGGAGGCAGAAACACACCTGGGGAGCATGTTAGCAGGCCCCCTGCCCCGTTCTCTCGGTTGCTGTGGAAGGATGACTTTAGAAGCAGCGCACCTCTGAGCCTGCCCTCCTTCCCGAGGAAGCGTGGCCGTGACCTGCCACCGCTGCTGTTGCTCGGCCCGCTCGCGGGGCTCAGCCCGGTGCCTTCGTCAGGCGTTTCTGATGGCGAAGTCTTCTGACGCCTCGTTTGGCGGCTGTGATACTGAGCCAGGGACGAAGGGCATCCCGCACTCTGCTTCGCGCGTACGCTGCTGTGCTGCGTTTCCCCTAAAGTCAGAGAAAGCTGGAATGTTGGACAGCGATTGCGTTATAATGTATTTGCATCCAAAGAAGTATAAAGGCATGCTTAAATCTCTGAGATGTGCAGGTGGGCACACATGCAAAATACCTTTATGTTGGAGGCAGAGGCTTTTTTTTTTATATAGCTGCTAGGCCAGGGATCACTGAAAAGGCTGCAGTTTTAAATACTTAAAAAAAAAAAAAACAAAATGCACAAGAGAACAGGAGATGCTTTAACTTGATTCTCAGTAAGGTGAAGCTTTTGAAAAATGATTTAAAATGTTACCACCAGTTGGTAAAGTTTGAGAAGGATCAAACAATAACTGACAGTAGGATAACTTTAGTTCTATCTGCATGTTTTCAGAAGACAGATCACAAGATTGAGGGTCTTTGATAGATTCAGGTCACAAAAAAGAATAGGAATGTGGCTTTCCTGGTGGTTACGAAGTGTTAAGCTCAACCCTCCACCTCATAAAACTGGAAAGCAAGATGTATTCCTAGATATGCAGCTTATTTATAAGATAACAAGGCAAAGCTTAGCTGTTGTCGTTTGAGATCAGAGGGCAACTGAGCACTACGCAACCTGTTACTCCTCCCTTCTCTTCCAGTGATGAGAAGGGACAAATGAGCCAGGCTTGGGATTCAAGATAGGACCGGAAGGGGCAGATCACTCATTATGGTCACAGGCAAAAGGCAGACTTGTTAGGGGAGTTAAAAAAAGAACGTACATTTATTACAGACGCTAACAACACGTAACAGAGTAGGACAGTGAGAAGCATTGCCACATCTTGAGAACACCTTCCCCCCACCCCTCCCTTCTTCCCGGGCTCAGCTCTGCTCCCGATATCTCTACCTCCTCCCCCAGTGGTGCAGGGGCAGGGAATGGGGGGTGCAGTCAGTGTTGCTGCTTCTGCCATCTGCACTGGGGGGAGCTTCTGGAACTTGTTCCTCCTGCTCCATCGTGGTCCCCCTCTCACAGGAGACAGTCCTCCACAAACTTTCTCCGATGTGAGTCCCTCCCACGGGCCGCAGCGTTCCCCACACTGCTCCGTTGTGGGTCACAAACTTTCTCCAACTGGAGTCCCTCCCACAGCTGCAGCCCTTCCTGAGCTGCTCCGGCGTGGGTCTCCCCCACATGCTGCAATCCTCCCAGCGCTGAATTACAGCAGCGGGGCTGCCTTTTCCCACGAGACCCCGGCCTTCTTTGGGCACAGAACCTTGAACAATCAGGTGAAACACAGGCCATAAATCAATGTCTGCTCCACCGTAGCTCTCCATGGGTGGCAGGGGGGGCCACCCTGCCGTCTCACCACAGGATACAGGGGGGTCTCTGCTCCGGCACCTCCCCCCTCCTTTCTTCCTCCGTTCCTCCACTGACCTTGGTGTTCACGCAGCTGCAGCAACTCCTCCTCCCAAGTCCCCCTGCACATCACCACGTCCCTTCTTAAATACATTATTGCAGAGGCGCAGCTGATGGGCTCAGTTTTGGTGCAGAGGTGGAGGTGACGTGGAGCTGGGGGAGCTTCAAGAATTTTCTCACAGGGGGCCGCCCCTATAGCCCCCTCATCTGCTACCAAAAACAGCCCCCCACTCACTCAAACCCAGGACAAGAGGCTAGCATGTGCATAGGGACAAATATGTTATCAGAATCTTCAGAATAACTCAGTTGTTTAATATCCCAGTAGCTGTGACATTTTATAGTTGACTTAACCAATACATCCTATTAATTTAGCTCTCCGAGACCACTTTGAATAACAAATCCTCTCAGTGAGATTTTAAAAATTCTGGATATAACACTAATGGAGATCACAGTTGCATACAATTCCTCTGAAGTGGACAAAATGGTTACAAGAAATTGAAATGTTAGAGCATCATGGGAGTTGACACTACATTATCTGCTCAATATTGCACTAATTTTACCCTGGGTCATTTTAACTTGGATAGAAGAAATGGAAAAGGCCTGAAGATTAATCAGAGGGAACTATTAAAGAGGTGGATGATTAAAAGATGTTACAAGAGTTTGGGTTCTGTTCCTGGGGTATAAGGCAGATTGACTTTTGTGCAAACACTGAACTGAAGTGAAATTTTCAAGGTTCTGTGTAAATGTCCGTCTCTGCTCTGAGTCTCAGAAACCAGAACTAGCGAATCTGCCTTCTTCTCAGATTTTGAAGATCAGAATTATCTCATATAATGGGGTCAAAATGATAACTCTTTCTTAGTTTTGTCTATTATTTGAAGCTATCTCCATGCAGAATGGCTTGTAAAGCAGAGACTAACCAAACTTCTTGGTGTTCCAATAACATTGTCGATGCAAACTGTTCATGGAGGAAAAAAAATAAATTTGGAAAACGCATAGGTGTCTTCTGTTAACAGATCTCTTACTGCTTTTGTACTGGCAAACTTGGTTAGATTATTAAAGAATTATGCATATTACATGTTTACTTTTGCAAAATATATATATATATAAATGCATTAATATATAGTAACAAGGCAAATATCTCTGTTACCTTTGAACTGAAGGCAGATGGTTCCTGCTGCCTTGGAGGTTCCTACCCATGTTCTGTTGTTGCAATTACAAAATTTAAGATAAAGTCTCCCAAATAAGGAAATCTTAAGATAAATGTTCCCAAATAAAGTGATGGTATGATTGATAATGGGACTGACTAACAATTAAAGGAATGAAGTACAATGAAAATAATTTATCATGGTCTTAAGTAAAATAGAACCAGTCTAATATATTTGGGGGCAGAATTACACAGTTGGTTGATTAAAATGATACTATCAATACAGTATACTTTCATTACTTTAAGGCATTTGACTTGTTGGCACTTTAAGGTGTTTGACTTGTTACTGGAGGATTCTTAAAGACAGCAGAGCAACACATACTCAGAAACAGCAAACAGCATGTGGGTTCAGAATTGTTCAATGTGTCTCCAGACTGTATTTGTGAATGGATAATCTTCCCTGAAGAAGGGGAATGTCTAGGTGGTCCTTTCATTTCTAACCCTTTTTCCATGACCTGGAAGAAGAGATAGAATCAAAATTATTCATTTTATGAGTAATGCTAGGACGAGGAAAATTATGCAGACTTCTGACACAATGTAATCTGAGTACTCAGCTTTTGTGATATATAAGAATTCTAAGTGTGAAGGAACAGCTGGAAACAAAGCATGATGCATGCTTACGGGGTGCACCTCTCTGTTGTGGCAGTCAGTGATCATGAGATGAACTTGCTAGTCATGGTAAATAACCAGCTACCATAAGTTTTTATTGCTATTCTGTAGCCCAAAAATCAAACTCCATCTTCTGATAAGAAATAGAGGAGCCTGAAGTAGAAAGGCAGGAGAACTGTATTACTTCTGTAACAGTAATTTGGTCTGAATACTAATGCAACATTGTGTCTAGTTCTGCTGTCCTAATTGAATATCAGTGTTGAATAAATGGAGAGGGTTAAAAAAAAAATAAAAATACTTTAACAGGAGAAGGAACGTTTTTTACAGTGTTGGGCTGCTGGAGATTTGACTGTCCTCAGCCTTGCTTAGTGGGCTGTTCTTGCCTCAAATGATGAATGAGAGGAGAACTGGTCTGGGGAGAATGTCTGAGGTTCAGTTTGCTAATGAGGAGAAGGTGTGAGGGATCTGTAGCCCTTTATTAAAAACATCTACTGTGGTAAATGCTTGGTGTTACCTGCCAAGCAAGGGGTTGAGGCAGCTGCCCTTCCTCAGCCAGCTCTGTGGCTGTCGGCTCTCCAAGCCGTGACAAAGTGAAAGCACTGATGGAAGTCATCCGAAATTGAACAAAGGTTTGGAAAAAAGATCGTTTTATTCCTTCAACAGGGGAGAAAATTTTAAACCTTGTAAATTCTTAAATAAAGTTTGTAAAGTACTTTTGTAAGGCATATCTAAGACAACTAGAGCAATTTCTTGCAGTCAATGGAATTCTTGGATTCCCACGTTACAAATAGGCAAGGTCAAGACCCCCAAATGTACAATTTGTCATCAAATTTAGTGAATCTAACAATGAGTTATTTCATTTTGATTTACCGCTTCAGATCATTAGGGTAACATTCAACAGTCATTTCAACTTTTCATATACAAATTGAGCCCAGTAGAAAAAGTTACAGTCCAGTGGTCCAGAACATTTTAAGAGGTACTGTAAATGAATCTGGAAACTGCTGTTAATCGTAAAGACATTTAAAGTGTAATCTCTCTGAAAAGATCTGCAGGTTTAAGGAATGTGGAAAGAAACCTTTTAATTGACTCCACCCTCAAAGCTGTAAGTGCTGGTGGGCATGACAGAGTGACTTAGAAAGCATTTCTGAAAATCTTGTTAAAGGAAGGGATTATTTCAGGCACTGGGCCTAGTTCTCCACTTCTGGAATTTTCCAT